TCTTATATGTATGGAAAAATGGTAAAGGGGGACGTTGTCGAGATTATCGCTCAAGTCGTGGTAATGTAATGTAAATCAGATTATTCACAAGGAAGGCCGCGAATAGCCGACGACAACAAAGATTTCATGCCCATCGTTAGGAAAGAGGAACGAAAAAAAATGTTTCAAAAGGCAGACTTTACCTCCTTTAATTTTTTTTTTTACCTACACGTTAATAAGGGTAGCTAAATTTAAAAGTCATCAAAGGGTCAGGAGTTTTAACCACACTACAAAGATGCCGTGTCGACAAAAAATTCTCCATCAGATATATATGTTTTTCACTGATACAGTGACGATGAATAAAATACCAAAAAAAAAGTTTCATTTTAAAATAACATATATAATATATTAACTACTGTTTAGTGGTTTTAAGCTGATTTTTTATGGTCTAGGAGTGGCATTAACAGAGCTAATGTCGTTATATACTGAAAGTAATATTAATTATTATAAATCAAGAAAAGCGACGGATGTTTCGTACACGCTTTCCTTTTTATAAGAATACGTTTGATAGGAATTTTGAGGCTGAAATGTGCCAAAATTTAAGAATATTTTAAGAATAAACCCGAGGTTGAGATTTTGAAAAGTTTATACCGTGTAAAATTCTTCCTCCCTCCAAACGGGAAACTAGCTAAAAAGTAACAAAAACAGCACAAGCCGTAGTTTCGATGCTAATAACATTTCTGCTAGACGTTAATTCCTGCAGGCTGGCTCCAAAATTACTCTACTATCATCCAGACACCAAATACATTCGAAAACAGAAATGTTGCTATAATCTTACAGTGTTCATAAGAATATTTTCAGCGTACAATCGGCAGAAAAATATGAATATTCAGCCTCGGCAGGAAAAACAATATCTTTTTTTTTTAGAAAAAGGGCGAACTACTAAAAAATTAAAAACCTCAGCGACTGGAACAAAGCAAGCTGAATGCAATTTAAAAGAGTACTTGGATAAAATATATTACTTTATTCCTCTTTTGTTTTGTTTTGTTTTGTTTTAGAAATAACGCGATATGCATACAAATATTATCGTATCTTTTATCTTTCGACAGACGTCGTTACTGAAACATCCGTTACGACATGACGTAGGTGAGATCTTCTTGTTTGCGTCAGTTTTTAAGAAATGATAGGATTTTTTAATGAGTTACAATGATAAATTTTTGCATTTGAAATGTCATATATAACAGTGGACCCTCGCTCGGTCATACTCGGTTTTCTGAAATCCCCGCTCCAGGGACTTAGCTAGTAAGAGGTAAAAAGAGGCACCTGCCTCAGTCATTGTTTTTCTTCTTTGTTATTTTCAGTAATCATAAACAAACTTAATACCTAGGAAGAGAATTAAACCATGGACGTTCAGAACATTGCATCAGTATATCATGTTTTGATGGACATTGCCTCAGTCATAATCTTTATCTGGCAACGCGTCTCTGTACTCAAATGTCTTCATGTGCCAGTAAAATTAATTCCGGACTTCTTATTCCGAATTGCAACAATGCCAACAGGAAGAAGCCTGGCGTCAATTAATAATGAGGTTCTTGTCTTCACTTAATATTTGAATGCCAAGTGGCGATGTCTGTCCACCGTAGCACCGTACAGTCGCCAGTGGCTGAAAATTAGCAACAAGTCAGTCATGAGCACTGATATCTTACAAAGATAAGGACAGGAGGAACACAACCCTCGCTTCTCAAGCCTGCCAATTTTTCGAATCGATTCTGTTCGTTTTCCCCTAGCAGGGACCTTCTAATGCACATACTAAATAAATATTCTTTAAAATATATATTGCTGCTTTCTGTAAAATCCAATTAAAACTTGTTTTTGCTATGAATGCATACATTGCAAATAACAACGGGAACCACATTTCATTTTCTATACAGTACTATTTACTTGTGTCAAAAGCAAATTTATTTGGTACTAGTAAGCGTACGTGACGTTATTACAATGGCTATACTTGGCTGTCTAACTTAAAAATGTAAAGTCATGGAGCTAGCGATCTTATCACAAGCCTATTCTTTTACATCCTTCTTTCACCTTCAGTAATGAAAAGATTTGATAAAATGAATGACATATTGCTCCTTCAGGTTTTGGCTGAAATCTCTGTGGAAGTCATTTGTCTAATTTCATGTCAAATTCGTCTCCGAACCTGTTCGGCTTGAAAATAATGTTAAGTAATCGATAACAAATGGTTCTAGGCTATGGACGGTCAAACATAATCGAACAGTTCATTTGTATATTGGTTCTCGCAGATTTAGACCAGTCTAGTAAGTATCGCACTGCTGTAGCCAGGGCGCAGTTGTGTCATCAAAATCAAGTGGTTATGAATTGATAAATAAACGTGACGACCTTGATTTTCCAGCTAAATGTGAATATCTTGACTCATTATATGCGTACATGCAGAGCTACTTTTCAGAAAAGTCGTGATTTCAGTAGTTAAACGGGTGCTGACAGTTTACAATTACAGGAGCCTGGCCTGTCTTGATAGGGTTCACCGGGCAGGAATGACTCAGTCGCATGTTCCATTTCCAAGAGTTGAACAAAACACTATATTTCCTGATCAATCGCTCTGATATCTGAGGGTATATTAAGGTCTATTAAGTCTGATATTCTTTATGCAATGAACGAACGAAAACCAAGGCCACAAGAAGATCGGCAAACTCAAAAATGGTCATTAGGCTGCATCCAAGAAACAGACCCATATTACCTCCAATTTCACCTAACCACAAAAAAAAAAAAGAAGAAGAAGAAGAAGAAAATGTAACAAATAACAATAAAATACATTATTGTGTGGCTTGCGTTTGTAGCCGATAGAACGCGCTCTATGATTGGCTAACTCTATGGCATTATTCTCCGTGATACTCACGGCCCGCAAAGACAGAGCAAAAAGCCAAATAATAAACAACTTATTGTCCTGGAAGGTTCGATCTTTACGGGGAATTCTCAAACCCCAGCCTTGCCGGTAACACGGCAAGGCCTCGGTTTCAGTGAGATTTTCCCGTATTGTAAAGACCTGACTGGCTCTCGGCTAATAATTGATTAGTTAGTATTATTTGACCAGTTGACCGAATGCCTATATATGGCCAGGACGTCCTTGTCATCTACCATCCATGGATATCCTGTGATTTCTGTAGTCTGCCCTATTTGTAAGTGCACTCAAAAGCGTAACCGAGAGTAACTGTGAAGACTTGTGCCAAATCTTGGGCAGACGACACATCAAGAAACTTACGATGTTTACAAAGGTTAATCTAAATATATCATTAGTTGGAAAATTGTTGAACAGTAGTCGAATAATATAATGATTATCCTCGCTTTTGTAGAAATTTGTCTTGCACAGAGAGAACAGTCAATTTAATCAGATCGGTTTAATTGGAACCGGCCATTGAAGAACCAAGAAAGAAATCAAGACCCAGTTCAGTACCCAGGGTGAACATCCTCAGAGGGGAAAATTGTGAAAATTTAAGGAAAGCGCTCCTGATATATCTAAGATTGAGAAATCGAGTTAAGATATTGTTTCCCGGCTCTGTACGTGGTAGACATAATAAGAAACGAGATACCGAAAAAAAGTCAATGTTCTTAGCGATCACAAGCTTTCGACGCTAATATGGCGGGAATCTATTAGTCAACTTCCGGCTGTACGAGGATGTTTTGACACGTAACTTGGTCCATCCAAGCTCGCGTAACAAAAAGATTCCCGGCATATTCATTTAAGAAAGATGTTGTGACCGCGTCGAAAGTTTGTGATTGCTATAACATTGACTCTGCTTCGGTCTCTAGTTTCTTATTATTGAGAAATCGTTTCTGTAGCCGTGTTTTTGTAGTGTGTAGAGTGTAGTGTAGTTGTTTATTGTTTATTATATGGCTTTTTGCTTAGCTTTTGCAGACCCGTGACCGGCCCGTGGGTCAGTAGTAAGGTAGAACAATGCCCTAGAATTAGCCAATCAGAGCAAACACAAGCCAGATAATAATCTCGATTAATGCAAGGAATTAATGGAAAACAAAACGGATACAATGCTGCTTGCGGGTTTGGAGGGTCATTATATTTTTGACCCTGATAATATTCTATACAAACTTGCAAAAAAGAAAAGCTGTGTGATCCATTTCGCATCATCTGATATTACTTTTGGGCTATTAAACATAAAAGCTACCCTGAAACGGTTTAATATGCTAAGGTCTGGTTCTCTGTTTTGCTTTTTCTCAGACACTACCAGTGTAAAAATTATACATACGAAGTTTATTTGAAGTAAAGCGGTATAGACGCAGACAGGAATCTAATCAAATATGGCTACAACAGTTACCACTTCAGATATATGAACAAACAAGCAAGAAAATTATGAGAAAAATTACCAAACAGCGCCTCGACACCAAACGCCACATTCTGTTCAAGTAACTCGTAGCTAAGTGTTTTGTAGCCAATCCGAAGAAACACAGAGTTTTTCCTGGAAAAATAAACCATGGGAACATTACATCGTACATATAAAACGTTGTTTCCTATCTGTGCCGTTGATGGTGCAGGTGCCTATGTTCTAGTCAGTAGAGGCCGGATAGAGTGCTTCGTGGTCAAATGAACGTTGCCTGAGGCCTCCCAGAAAAATTGAGTAGTGGTGTGCGGCCCACTTGCCAAAACCCTTACCCTATTTATGTCCAAAATCTGCGATTTTCCTTACCCTATTTATGTCCAAAATCTGCGATTTTCCCTACCCTATTTATGGCCTGACAAAATTTCGAAACCCTATTTATGACCTGACCCTTAATCAAAACCCTGTTTCAGACCTGCCTTATAATTAGTTGCCTAGTTCAGACCAATGCTAAATTTCCGTAAACACAATTTGTGAAGAGCTTTTGTTGATTTTCTTTTCCATAATGATGCAAAAGTGGCTTCTTCTTAAAAACATACCTATATATATACTAGAGTGCAAAAACCATACTCTATTTATGTCCAAACGTGCCAAAATCGGTACCCTATTTATGATCAAAACGGCTGGAAAACCCTACTCTTTGGGGCCGCACATACCTGTATAGCCCATATGAGGGAGTATCCCTCGCCCCGGGGGCCTGAGGTCACTGCCTCTTAAGCGAGACACGTACTTTCGACTGAAAATGCCTCCCTCTGCTTATCACGGAGTGTAAATGAAAATCTAACCAAATACTTGCAGATAATTAAAGATGGATTGTCAATAGAATTTAATCCAGGGGGATTATTTAATTTACATAGTGTGGTACATTCGTTTAATATTCTTTTCACAAATGAATCATATTAATTATTCCCAGAGTTTCTAATGCGACAAGTTCATGGCTGTCAAAGCTCGCCTCCGTATACTGGTTTATTAATGTAATGTCACAATTACCTTAAGTATTCGAATGGTAGATAGGTGATATTAAGTATTCGAACGGTATAAAGGTACAATTACCTTAAGTATTCGAACGGTAGATAGGTGATACCGTCAGCTTGTAACGCAGCCGCAGAACCTGCATCCGGGAACTTGGAATAATGCACCTCTGTTGTGTATCTGATCTCATTGCAAGGGACAGTACAGTCACAGACTGAAACGTTGAGGTTGGCTGGAAACGTTAAACGCATTTGTATTTAATATATTTGCCTTAAAAACTCAGATCTCGTTGGATAGCCATGGGGAAATCCCGGTGCAAAATAAACCTGGTGTATTGATGAGAAGGTTCTGGACTTCAATGCCTAATCATCAAAGAGAGGTTTTAGGTATTAATCTGTAAAACCAAATTCACAACTGAAAGACTTGCTAAGTCCTCAAAAAGGGGGATTAATGACTTTAAAAGACAGCAAAACAGTCCATAACTGGCAGGAAGAGTCAGAGCACAAGTTGAAATAAAGTGGATCAATAGAAAGTCTGGTTCGCTATGACACTCCACAAGAAAGTCATACAACCAATCCATTTACTGAAAGTCTTTCTAATATATATATTCAAGACACTATGAACATAGCCTCTTGATATACATATATATATATTTATTGGTGTGATCAAAGAGATTGAAAGCTACATTAGGAACAGAGGCGTAATAAGTTCTTGATATGCCGAAACTATCTTATACCGTAACTTGAGGAAAAACAAAACCAAACAAGAGAAAAAGAAAAAGCGAAGTAAAACCAAGGTAAAACAAAACAAAAACAAAGTGGCACGTCATTTGAGCTGAAGATAGGTTACGACCAAAGTATTTAAGGTTTCGAGAAAACGCCAATGTGTATTCGCTCTAGAGTTGATGTCTAGGATGTTTTCTTACCGGTAACGTTCACAACACAGGGTTGATCAAGTTTAGCACAAGTCTTCAACGAGGTTTCCGCTGAAAAGAGACAGGATACAATAAATATCTCACTTTTTTCTTTGAAGACTAACTAGGAAACAGCAAAAACATTATTACGGTATTGGCGACCATTTTCCCGCCCGCTGCACTGCGTAACTGTTGTATTCCGTCAATAACTGTGTCCTTTTAATCGCATTTAAGCTCACCAACAAGGAACGAATTGAATCTACATGAAGCTCACAAAACAGCTTCGCGTTCCACGTGCAATCTTCCCGTTCCGCTCCGGTGGAATTACGTATAAGGTCACGTGACCGACACAACAGTAACAACGGTGTGTTTGCCGCTAGAGGCAAAATCGCAGGGACCCGTGTGAAGGGCTTGTTAAGGAGAAACGGAAAAGCAAGGTCCTCAAACCTGAATAGCCAGCGGTACGGCATTTACAAGATTCCATAATGTGTTCAGCCAAACATTCATAGATGCAGCCTTTGAGTGTGTAGGAACTGAAGGCTTTTAACTTCTTGTCTTCGCATTTTGTCTCATAAGGATCCTCTAGATTTTTTAGCTGACGTAGAAAAATATCAGAGACAAAGAATCACACCATGAAACCTGTTAATCATAACTGTTAATCAATTTTCTGTGTATGTTTTACAGAAAATAAAAATGAGAAAGAAATCCAACTTAGCTTAATGGGAAACATGACATAAATATAACATACACATATCACGGGATGGTTGTGTTGCACGTATTGGATGCAAATACGTAAAGTTGAAAAGAGGATCTCCACTGTCATGCTAAAACATTCAACAGCTGATCATACATCCTGTTCATTTCATGCGCAGAAACTTTAACGTGCTACATGTAATTGGTTCTCCACGTAATTTGACATTGCCACAGCAACCTTGTTTTGGCATGCAGGTTAAGCCAAATGTTGCTCTTGGGCAGAATTCCTCGTTTTCCCCCAGTCTTGCTGAGCAGCTTTACAGGATCAATACCATTTTACATTCGGTTATGATTTATGGATCCATTCGGATTCATTTAACTCTAACCTTTAAAAAAAGTGAGAATATTTAAGTGTGGCATCATATTATGTCGTAACCAGCAAAGGACATCTTATCTTATAGAGTAAGCTGAGGTCTATCTATAAAACGCAGAACAATTTTAGGGAAGGGGGAATTACTCCCATGTATCAAGGTGGGTTATAAATTTCCGAGTACGACCGACAGCTAAGTATCTTTACTTTGGCTCACCCTCTGTTGATGCAGCGTGATTGTGGCTTGCATACCAGGTCCAACGTTAATCCCATCCCAAGGAAGAAAATGGTCTCCTTGTCGATGAATTATAACACTAAATCCCTCCGACAGTCTTCCAATTGTGTTATCATCAATCTGCGCGGTCAATAAGATGTTCAGACCCCCTCCGGCGCCTGTAAATTTAGCTTTTCTGATGCTGTCCGGTCCACCAAGCCCCGCATTAAAAGTGTGGCACACACCCCAGTCCGTCACGGATGACGAGAAATCCGATACGCCACATAGCTTATCTATTCTGCCATCAAATACACATAATCCAGATTTCAGCATTTCCTCGACTCCCGGGCTGTACTTTTCGTAAAATTTTATGGTGTCGAAAAAGGTTCCAGAGGTGTATTGTGCGGCAATCAAGGCTGCAAGGTACGGAGTTGTACAGTTTGGAACAATGTTCCCGCCATCGAACAGAAAGAAGGGTAAACAACAGCAGACCATGGCTGCTCCACAGGGCTTGTCACCACGAACTGACTTCGTAGCTGAGCAGAAGCTGTCGTTGAGACTGTACCGAACAAAATCAGCGTCGCCGTCCAAAGCATACATCTTTTTCTTGCTTATAAGATTTTGTGGGCAAATGGTGACAGCTGGGAATTCAAGACTATTGACGTACTTTTGGGTGATTACAGTGTTTATAGGACGTTTGAAGTATTTGTCTAATGATTTGTACGCAGTGAATAAGAAATATGCGGTAAATGCCAGCAGCAATAGCAACCAGCCAATCCGGGCCCAGAGGGGACGTCTCCAGAACACATAACGGATACCATGCAGTGAAGTGTTATTCACCCAATTATTCCATATTCCATAATTGCTTGGTAGAGCCGCATCTTTCCCCTCTTCATCAGCATCGTTATCTCGTTTTGGCTTGATCGGTTTCAATGAATCGAGCTCAATGTCGTTTTTTGTAATGGCGCCCTGGAAATAAAGATCTTCTGCAGGAACTGTCCCAGGCAAAGAAAAGTCCTCCAGAGTCATTTTGCCTGGAAAATAAAAGGAAACGAAAGTGTTTTTTTTTCATGGAACAAGCACCAGTATTGCCTGATTTGTTCGAGACACCTATTAGAATTTATTACATTGAGATGTTGCCAAAATTTGACTCAAAATTAAGGCGCTTGTTTGCTCTAACCGAGGAATTGTTTATCTGGAGAAGCTATTTAAACTGTAAATCGTGAGTATGAGTAAAATGTTATACTAGTACACGTTACGTAAATTTTTTTTGCTGTCTTTATAATAGGTTCACCACATAGTAAAATGTGCCACGATATATTGACTTACCTGGGTTCATTTTTGCCATAATGCTTGCTCGCAATTCCCTCCAGTTAGCGAATCAATCTAAAATGATTAATTCACACCAATTACAGTTATCCTGGTTTAATCTGAAACTGAAACAAGAACCTCTGTTTAGATGGGTGTTATGTCAAGACCTTAACGATGATTCCTAATCCGTACTGCACACTCTCGAGTGTTTTTTCCTACGTTTGTGGTTTTGTAACACGTCACAAAATGTAAAATTTCGCAACAACTTACACGAGACAACTTCAAAGTTTCGTGCCAACCGCCATTATGAATGCAAAGCTTGATGCTTCGATCTTTCTGATATCATTATGTGAAATAACTTTGAAAAACTCAAAGGAATTGCAGGAAAAAGAATTTAAAATGCCTCAAAGATTTGCAGTCCTTCGAGTGAGATCTGACAATGCGCAGTACGGGCTGGAAATCATCTTAAAGGTTGATCAAATGATCGTGATATAATTTGGGTATTAATTAATTAATTTTTGTACCCACACTGGATGTGCAGTGCTAATGGCTGCATATATTGGTTGACTATAACAGTTAATCTTAAATCTCACTGGCCCTCGAGAGACTGGCCATTTTCTAGTTTCTCCGAAGTCTCGGGGAAAGATTTATAAATATTACTAAATAACTCAACGTCAAAAAAGACAAAAACCAGGACATCTACTGTTTAATACAAGGCTATATAAAAGCTCAATTATGATGATTGCGAGTACGCTGCACTTCGCTACGTTTCCGGTAAAACGTTAATCTTCCACGCAGACGCTGTTTGGCTCGTCACGTTCTTTTCCTCACGAATGTAGACAACTAAATCACGAAATTATACCAAAATCATCAGTTTATCACTCTTGATAGTTGGTTCATCGTTTGGTGCCATCAACTATCAGCTCCTAGAAAACTAAGGCTCGTAATCCAATGTTACTCTTCAACGGATCAACAACATTATAACTATCTTTGATCTTAATGCATGCACGTGTTGAATTTACTTTAAATTAAATAAACCTTAGACAGGTGTCAGTAAACTCCAATGATTCTCTTCCATTTTTAATTAAAAATAAAAACTCAAATACTGCTACAGACCACAGTAAATACTAAAGTAGGAAGTAATTAATCCAGCCTAGTAGTCAAACTCATACAAAAACGGCCATAATTACAAAAGTGACATTATATGGTTTGAACAAATTTCATCACGATCTCCTTTTTGCTAGTTAGATATGAAAGTGATCTGACGTGAATAAATAAAACAGGTGACTCAGTTTATACTGACGTAAGGTGCTTGTTCTGAATTGCTCATGGTAACATGTTGATCGTTGAATAAGACGTAAAATCATTTAAAGTGTGCATTTTATAAGGCTGGAATGGAAAGTGTTGTCTTCTACACTTCGTCTCTTAAATATGTTGCGTCTTGTAACCATGGCTCAGTAGAGCTAGCTTCCGATTAGGGTTCCTTCGCTATCTTACAGCTTTAAAATTTACGGCTTAGAGACTACCCAAGCACAGTTTTAATGACAACAACAACCGCAAATATCAACTCACATGCACAACCTGTGCAAACTGCTCTCCTGGAGTGACCTAAGTCCATATACGATAGCCTCCTTACATCGGGGAGTCCTTATAATCCACATAACGCCTTGTTTGAATGACAAAAAATCAGAATGGTTCCAAAACGTTCGCCGTTTCTTTGAAGAGATTCGACACGCAAGGTAAATCAAGCCCAATTACATTAGCATCTTGTTATTTTCAACACGCAATACGCATGAAACTGTGGCACAAGATGAAATCGACATTCTTTCGTTACTCACCTTAGAAGGACAGGCAACCACACAAGGAAGGAGAAAAACTTGTCAGGGCTTAGCGTTTAAACTTTTTTCGAGGTTGTACTACAAATATCTTACAACTCGATGTCGTTTCAATACTATAATATATGTGGTAATCTGTGTCAGTTTGACTTTCCTATTTCCTACGTGACGTAATACGTTAATGATTGTGCCGCTTCATCGATTTGTTTTGTTCTTTTTCCGTTTTAAATATTCACATCATGGACATTTCTAAACAAAACCCTTCTTTTTTTATGTCACTGCGTATGATACACCGTACACTCTATGTACAACAAGAAACTACTACGTAAGGAACGTCCCTTCAAGTTGAGAGACTAAACTAAGTGGAACGTTGTACGACTTAGTTGATATTAATATGTTGGGATAAAAATCGTATAAAAATGTTACAATATTCTTCCACGAATGCTTGGAATTTCTTCAAAGAAACGCTGAAAAGGACCTACAAGCTTTGTTAATATGACGAGGGATCAATAATCATCACCTTTACGTAATTTAAAACTTCCTACGATTGATGGATCTGATGCCGATATGGACCGCTGGCACTAAAACTAACAACTGCAAATCATGATAAATTATTTCAAATACTAGTAGTTATCAAAGATCATGATTGCGTTCGACACTGTCACTTTCATATATATACCTTAAATGATTTAACTAGCTGACTTTCAACATTTTTCATGAACAACCGAGGTTTTACACAGACAGATATATCATAGTGCCAAAGTCCATGCCAGTGAAGAGGTCCCCTGTATAGACTACGATGGCCGATTTGTTGTTCAAAACGTTGCGTGACGGCGCCAGTTTCCGTAGACTGGCAAAAATACTACGCCTTAAAAATTTCATGTTTTGACGTAAACTCAGCGTGAATTAAAAATGTAAATAAAAAAACAAGTTTGAACTCTGGCCTGTAAGCAATTTTAAAGCTCCCATTCGATTTGCGTTCATGAAAATCTTGTTTGCCCAAAAGGAAATTCGTTTTGGTTTGTGGCACAATTTCATAATTCAGGCTCTGCGTCTATGCCAAGTTTTTTTTTTTGTTATTTTCAATTTACTTTCAATGACCTGAGACTAAAGGGGACCAGAACAACATAATCATTTACATTCATGTAAAATAAATAAACTGTTATTCACTAGGCCGTTTAACTAGCTGAACATTCTTTCTAGGTGTTTGATTACATACCAACATTCTCTAGTTAAATGTGCGGCTTCTGTTTCCACTCTTTTAGCCCGCTATAACGAGCTAGACAACTCGGTAAGATGGTTCTATAACCACGAATCATGGCCATCTGCCGAGCTACACAACTCGGTAAGTTAAAGTAATATAATTTGCGCACAGAAATCAAAGCCAGCAAAGGGAAACGACACATTTCCTCCATCGATTTATTCCGCACAACGCAGTGTTGGTTTTTGACAACAGGGAGCCGAACTGCACCTTTGTCAAGTTGTCCCAAAAGTCGTACACATTTCGTGAAAACACTGATAAATTTTAGCTACAAGGTCATTTAACGCCATAACTCTAACTTCAAACTTCAAATACGCAACTTGCCGGTAACAGCAGATAAACACATGGAGACGCGACTAGCATGGACATGACGTCGTTCGCTCCTGAAGAATTTTTTGGGGGGGCCAAATTGGTGTCCCCCGATAGATAGATAGATAGATAGATAGATAGATAGATAGATAGATAGATAGATAGATAGATAGATAGATAGATAGNCCGTAACTTGAGGAAAAACAAAACCAAACAAGAGAAAAAGAAAAAGCGAAGTAAAACCAAGGTAAAACAAAACAAAAACAAAGTGGCACGTCATTTGAGCTGAAGATAGGTTACGACCAAAGTATTTAAGGTTTCGAGAAAACGCCAATGTGTATTCGCTCTAGAGTTGATGTCTAGGATGTTTTCTTACCGGTAACGTTCACAACACAGGGTTGATCAAGTTTAGCACAAGTCTTCAACGAGGTTTCCGCTGAAAAGAGACAGGATACAATAAATATCTCACTTTTTTCTTTGAAGACTAACTAGGAAACAGCAAAAACATTATTACGGTATTGGCGACCATTTTCCCGCCCGCTGCACTGCGTAACTGTTGTATTCCGTCAATAACTGTGTCCTTTTAATCGCATTTAAGCTCACCAACAAGGAACGAATTGAATCTACATGAAGCTCACAAAACAGCTTCGCGTTCCACGTGCAATCTTCCCGTTCCGCTCCGGTGGAATTACGTATAAGGTCACGTGACCGACACAACAGTAACAACGGTGTGTTTGCCGCTAGAGGCAAAATCGCAGGGACCCGTGTGAAGGGCTTGTTAAGGAGAAACGGAAAAGCAAGGTCCTCAAACCTGAATAGCCAGCGGTACGGCATTTACAAGATTCCATAATGTGTTCAGCCAAACATTCATAGATGCAGCCTTTGAGTGTGTAGGAACTGAAGGCTTTTAACTTCTTGTCTTCGCATTTTGTCTCATAAGGATCCTCTAGATTTTTTAGCTGACGTAGAAAAATATCAGAGACAAAGAATCACACCATGAAACCTGTTAATCATAACTGTTAATCAATTTTCTGTGTATGTTTTACAGAAAATAAAAATGAGAAAGAAATCCAACTTAGCTTAATGGGAAACATGACATAAATATAACATACACATATCACGGGATGGTTGTGTTGCACGTATTGGATGCAAATACGTAAAGTTGAAAAGAGGATCTCCACTGTCATGCTAAAACATTCAACAGCTGATCATACATCCTGTTCATTTCATGCGCAGAAACTTTAACGTGCTACATGTAATTGGTTCTCCACGTAATTTGACATTGCCACAGCAACCTTGTTTTGGCATGCAGGTTAAGCCAAATGTTGCTCTTGGGCAGAATTCCTCGTTTTCCCCCAGTCTTGCTGAGCAGCTTTACAGGATCAATACCATTTTACATTCGGTTATGATTTATGGATCCATTCGGATTCATTTAACTCTAACCTTTAAAAAAAGTGAGAATATTTAAGTGTGGCATCATATTATGTCGTAACCAGCAAAGGACATCTTATCTTATAGAGTAAGCTGAGGTCTATCTATAAAACGCAGAACAATTTTAGGGAAGGGGGAATTACTCCCATGTATCAAGGTGGGTTATAAATTTCCGAGTACGACCGACAGCTAAGTATCTTTACTTTGGCTCACCCTCTGTTGATGCAGCGTGATTGTGGCTTGCATACCAGGTCCAACGTTAATCCCATCCCAAGGAAGAAAATGGTCTCCTTGTCGATGAATTATAACACTAAATCCCTCCGACAGTCTTCCAATTGTGTTATCATCAATCTGCGCGGTCAATAAGATGTTCAGACCCCCTCCGGCGCCTGTAAATTTAGCTTTTCTGATGCTGTCCGGTCCACCAAGCCCCGCATTAAAAGTGTGGCACACACCCCAGTCCGTCACGGATGACGAGAAATCCGATACGCCACATAGCTTATCTATTCTGCCATCAAATACACATAATCCAGATTTCAGCATTTCCTCGACTCCCGGGCTGTACTTTTCGTAAAATTTTATGGTGTCGAAAAAGGTTCCAGAGGTGTATTGTGCGGCAATCAAGGCTGCAAGGTACGGAGTTGTACAGTTTGGAACAATGTTCCCGCCATCGAACAGAAAGAAGGGTAAACAACAGCAGACCATGGCTGCTCCACAGGGCTTGTCACCACGAACTGACTTCGTAGCTGAGCAGAAGCTGTCGTTGAGACTGTACCGAACAAAATCAGCGTCGCCGTCCAAAGCATACATCTTTTTCTTGCTTATAAGATTTTGTGGGCAAATGGTGACAGCTGGGAATTCAAGACTATTGACGTACTTTTGGGTGATTACAGTGTTTATAGGACGTTTGAAGTATTTGTCTAATGATTTGTACGCAGTGAATAAGAAATATGCGGTAAATGCCAGCAGCAATAGCAACCAGCCAATCCGGGCCCAGAGGGGACGTCTCCAGAACACATAACGGATACCATGCAGTGAAGTGTTATTCACCCAATTATTCCATATTCCATAATTGCTTGGTAGAGCCGCATCTTTCCCCTCTTCATCAGCATCGTTATCTCGTTTTGGCTTGATCGGTTTCAATGAATCGAGCTCAATGTCGTTTTTTGTAATGGCGCCCTGGAAATAAAGATCTTCTGCAGGAACTGTCCCAGGCAAAGAAAAGTCCTCCAGAGTCATTTTGCCTGGAAAATAAAAGGAAACGAAAGTGTTTTTTTTTCATGGAACAAGCACCAGTATTGCCTGATTTGTTCGAGACACCTATTAGAATTTATTACATTGAGATGTTGCCAAAATTTGACTCAAAATTAAGGCGCTTGTTTGCTCTAACCGAGGAATTGTTTATCTGGAGAAGCTATTTAAACTGTAAATCGTGAGTATGAGTAAAATGTTATACTAGTACACGTTACGTAAATTTTTTTTGCTGTCTTTATAATAGGTTCACCACATAGTAAAATGTGCCACGATATATTGACTTACCTGGGTTCATTTTTGCCATAATGCTTGCTCGCAATTCCCTCCAGTTAGCGAATCAATCTAAAATGATTAATTCACACCAATTACAGTTATCCTGGTTTAATCTGAAACTGAAACAAGAACCTCTGTTTAGATGGGTGTTATGTCAAGACCTTAACGATGATTCCTAATCCGTACTGCACACTCTCGAGTGTTTTTTCCTACGTTTGTGGTTTTGTAACACGTCACAAAATGTAAAATTTCGCAACAACTTACACGAGACAACTTCAAAGTTTCGTGCCAACCGCCATTATGAATGCAAAGCTTGATGCTTCGATCTTTCTGATATCATTATGTGAAATAACTTTGAAAAACTCAAAGGAATTGCAGGAAAAAGAATTTAAAATGCCTCAAAGATTTGCAGTCCTTCGAGTGAGATCTGACAATGCGCAGTACGGGCTGGAAATCATCTTAAAGGTTGATCAAATGATCGTGATATAATTTGGGTATTAATTAATTAATTTTTGTACCCACACTGGATGTGCAGTGCTAATGGCTGCATATATTGGTTGACTATAACAGTTAATCTTAAATCTCACTGGCCCTCGAGAGACTGGCCATTTTCTAGTTTCTCCGAAGTCTCGGGGAAAGATTTATAAATATTACTAAATAACTCAACGTCAAAAAAGACAAAAACCAGGACATCTACTGTTTAATACAAGGCTATATAAAAGCTCAATTATGATGATTGCGAGTACGCTGCACTTCGCTACGTTTCCGGTAAAACGTTAATCTTCCACGCAGACGCTGTTTGGCTCGTCACGTTCTTTTCCTCACGAATGTAGACAACTAAATCACGAAATTATACCAAAATCATCAGTTTATCACTCTTGATAGTTGGTTCATCGTTTGGTGCCATCAACTATCAGCTCCTAGAAAACTAAGGCTCGTAATCCAATGTTACTCTTCAACGGATCAACAACATTATAACTATCTTTGATCTTAATGCATGCACGTGTTGAATTTACTTTAAATTAAATAAACCTTAGACAGGTGTCAGTAAACTCCAATGATTCTCTTCCATTTTTAATTAAAAATAAAAACTCAAATACTGCTACAGACCACAGTAAATACTAAAGTAGGAAGTAATTAATCCAGCCTAGTAGTCAAACTCATACAAAAACGGCCATAATTACAAAAGTGACATTATATGGTTTGAACAAATTTCATCACGATCTCCTTTTTGCTAGTTAGATATGAAAGTGATCTGACGTGAATAAATAAAACAGGTGACTCAGTTTATACTGACGTAAGGTGCTTGTTCTGAATTGCTCATGGTAACATGTTGATCGTTGAATAAGACGTAAAATCATTTAAAGTGTGCATTTTATAAGGCTGGAATGGAAAGTGTTGTCTTCTACACTTCGTCTCTTAAATATGTTGCGTCTTGTAACCATGGCTCAGTAGAGCTAGCTTCCGATTAGGGTTCCTTCGCTATCTTACAGCTTTAAAATTTACGGCTTAGAGACTACCCAAGCACAGTTTTAATGACAACAACAACCGCAAATATCAACTCACATGCACAACCTGTGCAAACTGCTCTCCTGGAGTGACCTAAGTCCATATACGATAGCCTCCTTACATCGGGGAGTCCTTATAATCCACATAACGCCTTGTTTGAATGACAAAAAATCAGAATGGTTCCAAAACGTTCGCCGTTTCTTTGAAGAGATTCGACACGCAAGGTAAATCAAGCCCAATTACATTAGCATCTTG